ACTCCACTCAAGACGTCACTTTTTTAATTTTGCGGTATCATATTTTTGGAAAATCTTTATGAATATTATATAAAAAGTCTCTTTAATATCTATATTTCATATTTTTATCGATTTTTAAAGTTTTCGCGAAAAGTATTCAATTATTTTTGCTATTTTGTCGGGTAAATGTCAGATTTGCGACATTTTCTGATATGATATTCAGATTCTACGTTGATAATAATGCTTATAGAACCCTCTTGCTATTGTGTCAAAATTGCGAAACCGATAGCAAAAATATCTCGCAATATCAAAATTGAGATATTGAGTGAATTATGCATTATAGAGATTAAAAATCTGATTTGTGAAAACATCTCATCAGTTTCTAGCTAATTCAAAAATCTTTACTATCTTATTCGATTAAAATGAAAAGGGAATAGTTTCATTATGCTTTAAATGACAGCCTTATAATCTAATCATAGTTTTCGCTCAATATGCAGCATTTTTTTTTTCGAAATCTATGGTCAATGTCCTAAATACTGATTGCTTTGCATTCATATCTCTTACATTTTCTATACCCACATCACTATTCATTGCTATTCCTATCTTTTTCATTTTTGTTTGTTTCTCATAATTTCTCAAAAAACACGATAACTTGATATTTGTAAATATCATACTTTATAACGTAAATAAGAACTTGACCTATTAAGAAAAGCAGTAATGAAAAGAAAATCTGAAATTCATAAAAATTACAAGTTTCTGATGACAATTAGCTTAATTAAACCAGGTACAAGATTATATAATTGTATTTTCTATCCAATTATCCATATAATATCTTATCCAGAAAAAATAACTTGATCAATACCAAATGATTTTTTAACTAGTAAATAAAGTATTTTCTTTACACACACATTGTATATCATAGTTTTTTTTTTTTTTGGTTTCGCAAAACATCCAAAAACAAATATGCTATAAAAGTGACAATTTTAGCAAAACGAAACCCTTATAATAAACAACAAAAATTGAATACAAATTTTGAAAATGAGTTCTGTAATTTCAGACTATTTCAATTGATTATATCTTTACGTGCATAAAAAACAAAGACCGGTACCAGCTTTACCAATTCATGAATGTTCATTTTATCTGTTTTTCATATTTACATCTTAAAAATTTGATTGCGATTTGCTATGATTTTCTCTATAATTTATACCTTTGTATCGCCATACTTGTGTTTTTCTATCGATAGTCCCAAAAAATTCTATGTGATAAAACAGATCAAATTAAATTTTCTCCAAAAATATTTCCGTATAAAAATAGAAAATATTCTCAAAAATCTATGATAACGGAAATATTTTTAAACATCTTTTATTTCTTATATATCATTTAATGTACATGCTATATCCATATTAAAATATTATTTACATCAAATTGAAGAATAATGACAATTTTATTTATTTTTCTGAGTACTCTTATCGCGTAATCGTCACTCTAAAGTTTATATCACTTGTGCCTAATTCTACGCCATATTCGATGCACAAATTTTGTGTTTTAGCATTATTCAAGTTTGATTTTTTTGATATGAAGTAGTGGAAAATATATTATGAGCTATATGTTTTTGCTTTCAAGAAAAATCGAACGCACTTCAGAATCTCATGGAAAAATTGACGATCAAAATTCTCTCATAATTCTTGATTTTTTCTGAAATTTACAGTATTCAATTACTAGTTTTAAATGGAATCTCGACAATCAGCAACAGAGATTATAGATTATGGTTTACGATTGCTATTACCTTATGAACAAGACAAGAGTTGGCATTTAGACATTTAGTTTCATACGAAGCCAGAAATTATGATTGTTCAAGCGTTTTTTAATGTTTTGAACTATATACCTTTTTTCTCACGAAGATAAAATAAGAGATAGAAGGTTTGTCGGTATTTTCTGTGAAAGATATCTTGATGATTTTCTCATTTAGAACCAAATTTAAAGAATCATTTAATTCATGAATATGAGGAGGCAAATCCTCATTACGAGCTATTATTACAAGACAAATAGGAAGATTAATAACTGCATCTACAGCTGACTCTTTAATTCCATTTGTTGTAAGATCTTGCGATTCTAATGATCCATACGTTAGAAAATCAGCTGCTTTGGCAATACTTTCTATATATTTGTTTAAGCCATCATATTTGCAGAAATATAACTTGATATCCAGCTTAAAAGACTTGTCGAAGATATGAATCCAAATGTTGCTGCAAATGCAATTTCTGCACTAAACGAAATAAATAGAACAAGTTCTTCACCAGTTTTCGAACCTTCGGAAAGTACAATCAATAATTTACTTGCAGCAATCGATCAATCTACAGAATGGTCTCAAGTTGAGATATTAGATTATGTAGCCAATTACAGACCAGAAAGCACTGATGTTGCTCATATATTATATCAAGAGTTTCAACAAGGTTAAATCATTTGAATCTGCCGTTGTTCTTTCCGCCATTCGCTGCTGCTTGCAGATGAACAGCTTATTACAGATCCATCGAAAGTTCATGAGACATTGATGAGAGTTGGACTTCTTTAGTTTCATTATTGAATAATATTCCTCAAATTCAATATTCGGCTATCAAGTCAATATACATATTGGCTCAGAATTACAGAAAGCTCTTTTCTTCGAAGTTGCCATTTTCTTTTGCAAATATGATGATCCAGAGTATGTAAAACTGGCAAAACTCGATGTAATTCTTGCGATGTGCAACTCAGCAAATGTTGGAAAAGTCCTTGCAGAACTCTATGAATATGCACAGCAAGAAGATATTGATTTTTGTCAGAAAATCAATTTCAGCAATAGGCCAAATTGCAATAGAATTCGAAGTTGCCGCTCCTTCATGTGTTGATAAAATCGTTGAGCTTGTCAAGAACAAGAAAGATTATGTAATTCAAGAATGCATAATTGTAGCAGCAGATATTTTCAGGAGATATCCAAACAAATATCTAGGAATACTTGCTCCTATATGTGGAGCTCTTGAACACAGGATTGATAATCACCGTGCTAAAGCTGCAATGGCTTTTATCATTGGAGAGTTTTGCAGTAAAATAGAAAATGCTGGAGATATATTAGAAGTAAACTTTGTTGATGGATTTCTTGAAGATACATATGATGTACAACTTGCTACTTTGACTGCTGTTACTAAATTCTTCATTAATTCACAAGATGAAGAATTATTTAGAGAAATCATTACAATGGCAACTATGCAAGTAGATAATCCATCAATTAGAGATCGTGCAGTCCAATATTATTGGCTTGCTTCTGAAGCTGGTGAATATATGTCTCAAATTATTTCACCAACCGAGAAACCAGTTATCAGTTCAGAGTTAATTAACTTCGATCAAGAAAAAGCGAAGAAGTTTTTGCCTCTTATAGGAACTCTCAGTATCTTACTCAATAAACTCCCAGATGAATTTGTGGATACGATTATTAATATTACTCTTGATAAGACAGAAATAACACCAGAACTTCCTATTGTTGTTTTAGGAAGAGGTACTCATTCACTTGAAATCCGTGCAGCTCTCGTTAGAATTGGAAATAAGAATCAAATTTCAATGAATATTACAAACTATAATGAAAATGATAACCAAATAATCGATATTGCATTTAACACGAACTTATTTGGCTTCATTCCAGAGAAAACAGGACTTCCAAAAGAATTCAAATCACAGAAGTCAGTTTCGTTAAATATCCCTATTAATACAGATACAACTACTGCAGTCAATGCTAATGAATCGCAATTCCTTGAAGTAGCTGTACTTACAAATGATCCAAATCCAATAATTTTCCAGATTGGAATCAATCTCAACTTGATATTGGTTCCAGATACAGACGGAGCAAAGCTTTCACGTAATGATTTCGTGACTGTTTGGCAATCAATACCTCCACAAAATGATCTTACGAAAACTCTTGATAAAGCCCGAATTGATTCAATATCGGTAGCCAAGAACATATTAAATCCAAATCGCATTTACTTTAATGCAAAGAAAGAAACCACTGCTTACTTCTCAGGAAAAACGATACTTGGAGACATTTTCTTCATTTATATCGAATTCCATAACTCAGGCAAAGTAAGCATTGGATTAAGAATGAAGAATATGGTGTACGCTAATATCATTCTTCAATTAGTTGAGAAATTATTGAAATAATCTTAGTTTTCTATCTTATTTTTATATTTTGTGTTGATAAATCATCATTATATGTATTATTAATACTAATCTATGACACTCTTTTTGCGATTAAGCTTATAACGGATGTGAACGTCATCTGATTTTATTTGCACAGATATTTCTACATAAAACATACTATATATAGATATCTGAAGTCGAATTATGAATGATTATGTGTTCACTAAGAAAGGTACTTCAGATCTTTTTCCACAGCCTTTTGAGAGACCAAACTTTGGGTGTCTATTATAGGTACAAATATAAGGCTATGCGCAAAGTTTGGCAACCTTTGGCTTAAGGGTTTGTGAGAAAAAGTTGATTTATATTTGAATGCATTTGGCAAAAAAAAATTATAATTTTTTCAAGAGTTACTAGTAAATATAGCCCCATGGCCATTCTGCACTGGAGATCATGTTACAAATGCTATTCCCATCTTCTTACTGTATAACAGATATAGACTTTTACGATTTTTTGTGCAATCAAATCTAAAATTTCAAGAATCTTCTTTCCAAATTTGAGATGCAAACAAAAATTATCTTGTCCATGTAGTTGCAATAAATATTTAGTTAACAGAATTCCAATAAAATACATATTGATAGAGTTTAGAGTTGTAGTGGCAAATCAACAAACTTGTTCGAACTTAAACACTTGTTGTTTTTATAAAAAACACGAATGTTTATATATATATTTACTCACGAAATAACGTACAAACATCTGAAGTACCTTTTCACTAAGAGTAGATTGGCGATTGAATTTCATTTGATAATCTAAAAAAGAGTAAAAAGATATAGAATTCGCAAAAAATACAAACAATTTATTTAAACAATATTAAGAATACCGGAAGAAGATGGAGAGAGTCTTTTCTTGCCCGTAATTAACTGATGTTGGGCAACAGACTTCAAAACCTTATAAGTTGACTTTGCCTTTGGTTCTACGTTTGGTTTGAAGAGCTCTACCATCTTCGATTGGAGCTGAGACATCGTTGGTCTGTGCTGAGGTTCAATCTTCATGCACCAGTTAACGATCTCAGACATTGGTCCATACTTTGGATCAAGCTTTGTATGGCCTGCATCTATCTCGTTAAGAATGGTGTTAGAGCTGTAGCTGCCATATGGGAATTGGCCAGTAACTAATGTATAAAATGTTACTCCGACAGCCCAAACGTCGGCCATGAATGGATCGTAGTCAATACCGAGTAATATTTCAGGAGACATATAGTTCATTGTGCCTCTAACTGATTTGTCGCATTTAAGTGTCTTGGATTTGGAAATCAAATGAGATAAACCGAAATCACAGATCTTAACGCGGCCAAACTGATCTAAGAGAATGTTGGATAACTTTATATCGCAGTGAGCTATGCCTTTTTGATGCATGAATACTAAGGCGTCGACAATTTCTAAAAAAATTTTGTTCTTCTTGTTTGATGACAATTTCTCGTTTGATTTGATTAAGTCTATCAAAGAACCACCAGAACAATATTCTAAAATCTGAAAAACAATGTTAGATTCGATAAAATAATCGTAGATTCGGACAATGTTTGGATGATTGAGGTTACTGAGAATCTGGGCTTCTGATTTATGTGATTCGATTATTTTGGGATCAACATTAGCGCATTTGGTTACTTTGCAAACAAATTCTTGATTGAATTTAAGACTCTTGACAAGATAGCAGTATCCGGAGCCACCCTTTCCAATCATTTTGACTATTTCATAGTCATGCTGTGATAAGATTTGTTGAACAACTTCAGACATTTGATGAATAATAGAAAGCAGACTTGACTTTAGGAGATGATGAAAGTTCTGTATATCTTTCGTTCCAGTTTCAAATAGCAGAAAACTTTTGAGACAGATATGCTTAATGTATGACAACATCTCTGATTTCACAAGATATGATGACGACCATGACCCGAACACGGTGAAGAAGAAGTTTTACAAACATCCATTAAGACAGGAAAGGTTTTAACTCAAAAGTCTCATTATTGACACCAAAGATGGCGAAGTGGACGTTCTTCAAGAGCTGAAGAAAAATACTTCTTCGGGAGGTGGTGGTAGGCATGAACTTGAAATAAATGAGATAGAAGAGAAATTAGCCGAAAAAGCAGATAAAGAACATAAACACAATATCTCCGATATAAATGAACTTCAAGCTACATTAAATAGTAAAGCGGACAAAATGAACTTGACGCATGAACAAAGTTTGAAATCTCATAAACACAATATCTCCGATATAAATGAACTTCAAGCTACATTAAATAGTAAAGCGGACAAGAACCATGTTCATTATATAACTTCAGACGAACAGATTATAACGGACTACCATGGATATTTAACACGAAGTGATGAAGCGAAGACAAAAAAATGTTAATGAAAGAAGATATAAATACATTCGTGCTAAAGGTTATGACATAAGCTGTACTGTACAGTATGATGTAGCTAAAGCACCAGAAGCATTTGGTTATACCGGTGAAATTTATGCCTCTACTTTCAATGTTAACGGTGTATTAGTTGAACCAAGATTTACTTTGAGAGTTAAGGCAAAAATAACGTTTGAAGATGCTATTAAAAGTAAAGCTGACAAAGTTGAACTCGAAGCAACGAACAAAGTTTTGAAATCTCATAAACACAACATCTCCGATATAAATGAACTACCAACAATGTTAGACAGTAAAGCTGACAAGAACCATACACATAAATCCTTCACTACTGTTAGAGCAGACGACATAATATTGAACTTTGACCTTGGTTCAAGTGCACCATTAGAAAATCCAAGTACAAGCGTAAAAGATACACTAAACTCCTTAAATAGTAAATGTATGAACATTGAAAGTCATGCCAGAAACTTTGAAGCATATGAACTACCAACAATGTTAGATAAGAAAGCAGATAAAACAGAGCTTCAAACATTAAAGACTCAGATTCTTGAAACATTATATCCTATAGGTTCTATTTATACGTCAATGAATTCAACAAATCCAGAAACAGTTTTAGGTTTTGGTACTTGGGAACAGATTGTTGACAAATTCTTATACTGTGCTAACTCTTCAAAGCAAACAGGGGTTCGAAGAAAATTACTGAAGCAAACTTACCTGCGCACACTCATACAGGAACTACAAACTTTTCTGGCGACCATAGCCACTCATTAAGAGACCATCCATTATACAACTCAGAATATAAAGCTGGCAATGACGTTTTATCTCCATCTTATAACAATGCAGCAAAAAAGACTTTTCGACAAACTGAACCAGGAGGAAATCATGTCCATACTTTCACAACAAATCCAACAGGCTCGGGTGCAGATTATATGCCACCATTTGTGACTGTATTCGCATGGTATGCGTTCAATGAACGCGCTTGAGCCTAGAATAAAATCTTTAACTTTACATAAATGAGCTTGAAAGAAGTATTCGAACAACATCCATGGAGGTCATTTAAGAAATTCAATGAAGCTGCAAAGAGTTGGGGATTTACTAACAGAGCTGAAGTGAAAAGGTTCTTTGACAAAAATGTTGTACATCAAACAAAAATAAACCCTTACGACTACTTTTTACCAATTTACTCCAACACTCCTGACGCATACCAATTTGACACTCTCATTCAAAGCAGAAAAGGAGGACATAAACCATTCCTCATCTTCATAAATGTTAACACTCGTAAAGCATATGCATATCCAATGAAAAATAAAGGAACTCGTGAAGTGTTAAGAGTTTTACAAAAGTTTGTAGCAGAACATAACCCAAGTACTTTAACATCAGACCAAGACAGTGCATACCTCAGCAATGAAATCACAGAATTTCTCATTAAGCATAACATAACTCACTACACTACTGAAGACCATAACCATAACATACTCGGCATCATAAACCGCTTCATAAGGACTCTCAGAGATTTAAATCAAGAGCGAGACTTTACCGAAGAAACAATGAAACATTTTCTCGAAGTATATAATTCCTCAACACATTCTACAACAGGACATACACCAAATTCAATGACACAACAACAAGAAGAAAAGTATATACAAAAGAAACGAAGCCAAACACAAAATATCAGAAATTCAACACAATTTACCCTCATTCCTGGTACAAAAGTTCGTGTAGTTCTTGACGACAAACCGTTGACAAAGAAACGTTTAAGGTTAAGTAGAAACTATTATATCGTAGACTCTACGCAAGGTAATGGATATCTTATAAAAGCTGCTGACGACTCCATTGCATTTTATCCTCATCACAAATTAGTCGAAAGTAGTAATGGCAAACTTGCTGAAACCATTGACGAAGCAAAGCGAGGAGTGGTTATTGAAATACTTGGCTATAACACAAACGATGACACTTATAAAGTAAGATATGAAGGAGGCGTTGAAGATGTTATACCATCTAAGAACTTGAGAGAGTCGAAGCCAACACATCTGGGACCATTAGAGCGGGAGTACTGGAAAGACAAAAATATGCCAGAAAGAATAAGAAAATTCTTCTAAACTTTTTCATTAGATGTAAATCAGACATGAATGAGAACAGTCATGATATCATTAATGGTACCATTTATTTACACCAAAAAATAATGTTTATGTTAGAATGTTAGATCTAACACGTTTTCTAACCACTTTTCTAACATGGTCTAAAACTCTCGAAAATCATGAATTTTTGACATTTCCTTATGAAAGAAAAATAACGCTAATTTTTTTCTAAGAAAAATTTTTATCTTGTATGTAAAGATATGATTTCAACAATCGGCACAACAACAATTCAAACTACAGCACCAAACTCGTTAGTCATGAATCCAACATCTATGTTAGTAGAGATGAAAAGCTTCATTCCTTCTTCATATACTTTCGAAACAAAAATCCAGAAGATAAAGCAAGAACTTTTAACAAGTAATTTAGACTGTAGTGCGAAAGATGAAACAAATGAACAGTATCTTTATGAAATGCAGGACATTATTGACCATTTACCCAAATTGCCTGAAATCCAACAACAAAAACTAACTATTCCTGAATTCGACGAAATTGAAGTCAAAACAACTGACTCAGTAGAAATAAAGAAGTTCATACGTAAAGTAAATTATGAATTCCTTGGTTTTCATTGCAACCATAAAGTTATGGACAAAGATTGCGACATGGTTTATAAGAATGTTTCTGACATATATAAATCTGAAGAATTTAAGACCTACGATAACTTTGTTTCATTAGTTGCTGAATGTGTTTGGGAAATAAGAGATAAAGATAGAAGAGGCAAAGTATGGAACGAACAACTAAGACCCGCTATGTTTGAGATGAAGAGAGCAATTGACGCCTTAGTTGTTTTAGCAGGTCAAATTTCAATGTATAACGCAAAAATGAACCCGCAATGTTCAAAATGTAAGGCAGCGATGAGGAAATATAACTACTCCGTCAAAGAGATAGAAAGAATGAGAAACGACTATGCAGATTTAAAGAAAGAAGTAGAAAAGCCAGCAGAAGATAAAATGGACATGTTAGCATTTCTGAACAAAAATTATCCAACTGCTGACGATTTCCTTCTATCTGACGTCAAGAAGAAATATAAAGAAACCTTCGGCATTGTTAAAACATTCGATGTACTAAAAGAAGAAATAGAAGCTACAAAACTGTTTAAAGTCATGAACCATCGCAACATATACCATGTAAAACGCTTGTAAATAGTTATGTTAGAAAAGAGGTTAGAAAACGTGTTAGATCTAACATGCTAACATAAACATTATTTTTGCTGAATTCAGCACAAAATTCTGAGTAAAATGACATATGGCACGTGTCAAACCGTTGAGTTTTCACAAATTTTAAAAATTGCTGCGGAAAGTTCGTCAAAAAAGTGAAGGTTCCCGACGGTTTCAAACCGCCATACTTTACATGAAGATAGTTTACAATGTCAACTAAATATCATGTACGATAGAAACGGTTATGTAAAGTTTACATTTTGTAAAGTTTTGTCCTGATTCAAGACAAGTCTTGTATTTTTTCAGAACAAGTCTTGTATTTTTTCAAGACAAATCTTGTCCTGATTCAGAACAAGTCTTGCACTTTTTAGTCAGTTTTTCTTGTAAAGTTCTCAAATTTGAGAACAATTGTCCTGATTCAAGACAAGTCTTGTATTTTTTCAGAACAAGTCTTGTATTTTTTCAGAACAAGTCTTGTATTTTTTCAAGACAAATTTTTTCAAGAAAAAACAAGTCTTGCACTTTTTTCAGGAAATCCTATCGTCTAACTTTACAAATGTCACTTTTTCAACATGATTGCATTTTGGTCGGGGAACAACTTTCTCTCATTTTGTCACTTTTTTCTATCGTCGTGTTTTGTCACTTTTCCCTCAGGGTGTGTGTCAGAAAATATCCAAAATCTTTATAGCCTCGTATCTCCTTCAATTCTTGACGGCTTGACATGTATGACACACCATTCAATTCAGAATTATGTGCTGAATCTTATGACCTTCATTTGTTCGTGACTTCTTTTCACATATGTAACCCTGAATTTTTAACATTTCTTTAACACAGAAAAATAAAGTTAGTTTTATTTTATTTATTTTTTTATTTGTATGTAAGGACAGATATGTCAACAACAGAGAACACAACAACTGCTATCGTTCATGAAGCCATAAATGAAGAATACGAGTGGGTTCAGTTTAACAAACAACTCCGTCTCATTCGTTCGGTCAAAGACGATATGTACCAAATGCAAAGTATTTTGACAGCATGTTTTGCTCCAGACACTAAACACGCAGACGACTGGTTCAAAAACCAAAGCACACAAGAACTTTTGAGTGAAATTTCTCTAGACCGACTTTTTTCGGTCTTGCATAAAACACATGAAAATCGTAAAAATTTGCCAATAAATTTAAGAGGTTATTATGTTCATAGACTTTTAGTAAATGCAGTTGCAATGTGGGCTTCTCCTCGTTATGCATGGCATGTTTACAGACTTCTTGACGAAATTCATAGACAAGAACGTGGAGAGATGGAAAAGAAACTTCAAGCAAAAGATGAAGTCATTGAATCCAAAGACAAAAGCATACAGAAAAGAATACCACGTTCGGTACCAAAAGGAAAGGAAAAGAGTTATAAGTATATGATATATACTGAAGAGTTGGAGAAAGAAGAAGATAGAGATATGGTTATGTTGCATTTAGTCAGAAGAAACAACAAAAGCTTTTATGACCTTGCTAAGATTTACAAATCTGACAGAAACTGGTTCTATCGTGAAAACTTACCGATTTCAATGACACCGAATGAGCAAATAAAGGAAATTGTCAAAAATACTCTTCCTCAAACACACTATGACATCAAAGGTTGCACAATACTTACATTCAAAGAAGACTTAACATTACTGAAGGAAAAAATAACAGAATATTTCGATAACTTCAAAGAGGAAGAATAAAAAAATCTAAGCTAATTTTTTTTTTTATAAAATTTTATCTCATATGAAAGAACATGAATTTAGAATATTCGGAACTCATGACAGAAGAAGAGAACGAACAACATGTAAAAGATTATGCAAAATTTCTGAAGACATACAAAGCATTTAAACAATATCTAAATGCTTCTAAAGATTATGCAAAATTTCTGAAGGTATATAAAGCTTATGAAAAAAGCGTATGAAAAGTTTATACATTGGGGAATTGTTGTAAAATATCGATATGAAGACTAACCAAAAATATATTTTTGCTTAAATGACGTCAGGGTCAATTTCTTCAACCATTTCACTTCCTTCGTCAATGTCAATAGAAGCTTCTTCAACCTTTGGTAAGAACTTTTGTATAACATCTTTGTTCGTTATTGTTTTCAGAGATGAAGAATAATATTTCACATTTGTTTCACCCTTCTTATATTCTTTCTGTTCGGAAAGATTCATAGCAATACTGAAGAAGTCAATGTTGGAGTTCTTTATAATAGTATAATGAGTATCTTTGACATTCACGAAGAAACTCTTTTGTTTCAAAACTACTGCTAACTCTTGTGAAGTATAACGTTTGCGGTCAATGACAATAGCTAATGGTCTGACATACTGACCGAACTTAGATTCTTTCACAAACTTCTTGTTAAAGATAACATTAACGTTTGAAGCACCATTGAACTCATTCTTGATGACAGTAGCGAGAGCATTGTATGAAAAAATTGCAATCTTGCATGTGTTTCATTAAAATAAAAATATTAAATTATTTTGAAAAATAACTTAAAAAAATCTAATCTAATTTTTTCAAAAATATTTTTTTATTTCCTACTAAAGATGTATCGGAAGTTGTCTAAGTTAGAACACTCGGAATAAAACAACTTCTTACAGAAGCTAATATAGATGTTGCAAAGCATTACACAACAAACAAAAAGGCACTCGCTGACATCCTCAATGACTATAATGGTGAAATAACTTATGATAGAATTCATGAGTTCATAAAGCCGCAACGCGGCGAGGACGAAGTCCATGCAAGAGCATTTCCTTTAAATGACGTTGCTATTGACTTATATCATAGACGTTCAATACCTCATGAAGTAAGAAGAGAAATGTTTGACATAACAAATGCAAACGTTGGTCATACTCGTAAAGCTCTTTCACATGACGTTCGTCAAGAGATGTTTGACATAACAAATGCAAACGTTGGTGAAACAGAAGAGCTGTACCACATGAAGTAAGAAGAGAAATGTTTGACATAACAAATGCAAACGTTGGTGAAACACGAAAGAGAGATGACACACTGAAACAACAGAGAAAGAGATGTTTAAAAGTGCTATAGAACAAGTTCGCAAAGCTAATAATGTCATTCGTTCCATTGACGACAAACCAAAAGAAGGTGAGAGATGGTTAAAGAAAGATGAAGAAAATAGGAAGAGGAATGTGAAGTCAGGCAATAGACTCATTGACTTTAACATCGAAGCTTTAGATGAACCAAACAGAGACTACTTACACAAACATTTTGGTAAGGTTTTCATGAGACTCTTAGAGAAAATTAAAATAAACTCCCAACAGAGATGGATGGTATGTTATAAACTTGGTGGAAAGTATGAATGTTCTACGTTAAACCTCAATAATATTGGAACATTACTACATCAGCTCTTGAAGGAGAACTTTATATCAGAGATAGAAGCAAATGCTGCAGGTATTGTTGAAATGCACTATGACTTCTTCTTGACAAACATAAAGAATCTTACTGAAATAAAGATGTATGATTTAACAGAATATGAAGGCTTAACGATGTCAGATGTAAAGAAAGGCAAACCAAAAAAGAGACCATATAGAGATGAAAGCACACTGACAAATGACCAGAAAGCCATTTTGGAAGCTCTTAAGCAAACAGGAAACCCAGCACTTATAGAAAGCTTTTGGAAAGATAATGGTGAAAAGAAGTTTTATAAGAAGAGAAGCGGGCAGTTCTGGAAGTATCTTTGCACATTACCTATAAATCTTGAACGCTACCAAATCTTCAATGAACTGAACAAAAGAACTGCAACACTTATGACAGAAGATAACTGCTTTCGTTTATGCTTGCATTCAGGCTGGAGTAAATGAAGAAACTATTGACCACATGAGAGAAGTCATTCGTGTTAGAGACTTTCCTCAAAGTAAAGTACAAGAAATTTCTGACGCAACAGGTATAGCATTTAATGTTACCATTGGTTACTTCAATGACTCAAGACATAATGAAATAAAGAGATACATACCAAAAGAATGTGAAACTGTTCGAACTATTGACTTACTTCTTGTTGAAGACCACTACATGCTAAATGAAAGACTTCCAATGACAACATATTTCATTCGAAACTATAGAAATCTTGAAGGAGTGTGGTGGAATGAACATTGAAAACACAGATGAAAATATATACAAAGAGAGAAGATAAATATGTAGTTCGCATGGATAGAACTACACCGTATGGGATGTTATGAAAACATTGTGGGAGTGCAAATATTTTGAACCTATTTCTTATGGAGAACTTTTCACATATACGACTGACTTATATAAACAGAACCTTGCACCATTTAAAGATTTGACATATGCTCCAAAGTATTGTGTACAACTGAAGAAGAAAGCAGAGTCAAAAGAAGTAAATAAAGCTAAATGTAAGTTCATACCTGAGCACGTTTTCTTTGCTGACTTTGAGTGTAGTACGGATGGCTTTCATAAAGCTTTTAACATCTGTTATGACAGTGAAGATGGTTCAGTTAGTGAAAGTATTTGGGGTCAAAACTGTGCAACAGAATTTTTGGAAAGACTTCCTGACAAGAGTTTAATATATTTCCATAACCTCAGTTATGACATAAACTTCATCTTAAGACACATGACAGAAGTGAAAGGAACTCCCATCATTAAAGGTTCACGAACAATGCAAATAACTGGTTTATATAAAGGAGGGCAATTATTATAAAAGACTCTTACAGTGTTATAAATAAGAAGCTTAAACTATTTCCTGCTATGTTTAACTTACAAACAGGACCGAAAGAAGTATTTCCATATAACTACTACAGCAGTGTTTTGTTAGCAAATGACAACAGAACTGGTGTCATTTCTGAAGCATGTAAGTTTATCCATGATGCAGATACATTTATGAAGAACATAGATTCCATCAAAGGTTGCAGAATAGATGAAAACCACTTCGACTTAGAAAAATATAGCACGTTTTACTGCAAACAAGATGTAAGAATTTTAAGAGAAGGTTTTGTAAAGTTCCGCAATGACTTATTGAAAGAGTTTGATTTAAACGTTTATGACTACGTTAGTATTTGTTCTATTGCTAACAAATTGTTTGAGAACAGAGTATACTTCCCGAATGGAAATCTTTATGACCTCTCAAATAAACCAAGAGAATTTATTTCGAGATGCATTCAAGGTGGAAGATGTATGTTGTCAGATAACATGAAACAAAAGAGCAAAAAGAAACTCATTGCTGACTTCGACACTGTTTCATTATATCCTTCAGCTATAGCAAGACTTTATACTTTAGAAGGTATTCCAAAAGTATTGAAGGAAGAAATGTTAAGCACAGAGTATCTCATGAGACATTTATTCGATGACGACCAAAAGGAACCCATTGGTGAAAAGTTTATGTCTGGCTTCTTTGTTCTCATTAAGATAACAGAGATTGGTATACCCAGACACTTTCATTTAATAGTTTGCGACCCTGAACTAAATCCAGAACTTAACGTTCCAAGAAGTTCAAACACTTGCTGTCTCATGTATGTTGACCATATAACATTACAAGACCTCATAAAATATCAAGGTGTCAAATGTGAAGTGTTGCAAGGATACTATTACGATGGAAACAGAGATATGAGAATAAGAGATGAAGTAAAGAAGTTGTTTGAGTTAAGGTTAAAGTATAAGAAAGAAGAAAACCCCTTACAAGAAATTATAAAACTCATTCTGAACAGCATTTATGGCAAAACTATTCTATCTCCTATTGAGTCAAAAATAACCATAGTAGATGACAAAGATGCTATAAGATATGCTATAAGAAATTACAACCATATAGTGAAGTTCGAAGGTTTGGATGGTTCAGATAAAACTATTTTCAAGCTAACGAAAAGCATTTGCAGACACTTTAACTTCTGTCCACTTGGTGTTAATATTCTGTCTATGTCAAAACGTATTATGAATGAAGTATTCTGTACTGCAGAGGACATGGGACTTCAAATCTTTTACCAGGATACCGACAGTATGCACTTATATAATGAAGACATCCCAAAGCTTGCAGCAGAGTTTAAGAAGAGATACGGTAGAGAACTTATAGGAAAGAACCTTGGTCAATTTCATAGCGACTTTGCAGAAATAACACCTGGAAAACAAAGTTTAGCTTATAAAAGTATTTTCTGTGGAAAGAAGACCTACATAGACTTACTCACTAACGATTTAAATGAAGTTGCATTTCACTGCAGAATGAAAGGCGTGAAGCAAGATGTTATTGCTTTAACCGCTAATGAAATGTTTCCTGAAGCTATACAATGCTATTACAATGAAGATAAGAACATTCACATACCTGTTGGAACATATGACAAAGACTCTGAGTTCAGTTTAATGAAACTTTACAAAGCACTTCATGATGGTCAAGAGATTGGATTTGACTTATGTAAGTCATGTCAACCTTGCTTTGCTGAAAAGTTCAACTTTTCAATAACGACTAAAACAAGCTTTATTCGTAAGTTGAAGTTCTGAGGTCATTTATTTTTGTCAGCAATGAGGTCATTTGTGATAAAAATAAAGCTAGCGTAGATTTTACAATACTGCGATGGTAGAGTTTAAGAGTTGTGCTTCAATGTAGAGACAGTCCTTCCCATCTGGAGGCAAGAACACTGGACATTTATGGTCATGAGTGGAGTACATGTCTATCCAAAACTCACGATTGAAGCCAGTTAATTTATAGTATTTAGGGTTAGGAAGTGGTGAAGTTCTTGTATGACCAATGAACTCATTTTCAACGCCTTTGGCTATATTAGAGTAAAGTATTGCTTGCTTTCTATCCCAAATGCCAGGTGTTACAATCTTTGAAAATTCATTTTTCCTCGGAAGCATTGCATCATAATTGAAAACATTCTTAAAATCATCACTTGGTTCGGAGATTTGAAATCTTATACGTAATGGATTTTCTTTCTTTTTAGCGACTTCATTGAATGGTGAGAATACAATGAATTGACAGTCATGAGTTCCATCTTCATTTTCATTAAATTCATAATGAAAGTCTATAAGTTGTGGCTGACTACCTTCTTCTTTCAGTTGTGCAAGAAACTCACGTAAAGGCTGTAAAGTTTGTACTTCAATGTTGAACTTTTTCTCGAACATCTCATTAAATGAAATCATACATTGTTGCAATGTTGTATCGTCTTTAAAGTATTTGTATATGTGAATGTTTTGGGCGCTTAAAGACTGTTCGTCATTTTCTATCTCGACTTGAAGTATAAAGTCAACCTTTCTGAAAGCACGTGTTATATACATAGATGTTATGCCAATGTACTTCTCTTCATTTATGTTCACAATCCAGTCTGTTGGAAACTTAAACGTTACTCTGTTCCCCTTTATTTTGACGTCAGGGTTTTCACTACTGAACGCAACAGTTAAAGGTATTTGTCTATACATT